TCCTGCTGACCCACTGATGGCTCTGCTCTCTAGCCCTCTGGTCTTCACTGGGCACCTCTTCACCTTCACCTCCATGACCCGGGACCCTAATCTGATTAAACCTTGCTTAGACCAGCCCCCAGGGTGGACGGCCTCCCTATCTTCCTTCTCCTCTCACCAGAATCCTTCCTGCCATCTGTGACCCACCCGGTTTAGCATACACAGCTGTGTATATTTGTGCTTTTGGATCAGAAACCTGGGTTTGAATTCTGGCCGTGCCACTGACTACCTTTGTGATTTCTGGCAAGTCCTGTATTTTCTCTGATCGAGTAAAAGGGGGATGCCCATGCCTATTCCTCCCCCCAGGGTTTTGAGGATTAGGTTGACTGTGGATAGGACCCATCTCAAGAAGATTATAATTCTGGAGAGGAGGGGCTGGGTCTCACTTTCTTTGTGTCCCTACCCTGCAGAGCCCAGCACAGGCCCTGAGCGCTTTGTTTGGCGGCTGCAGCCACAGCAGCAGCAAGGGGACTTGCGTTTAGCCTTGCCATCCCCTGCCATCAGGAGGGGAGGGAAATCCCTGGCAGAGGCCTTTCCATTCCTCCTCTCGTCTTTGCCCTTGAAGGAAGACCACCCAAAGCAAAAAGGCTGACTCTCTTCTGGAACCCTCTCCCACCTACCAGGCCCTGCAAACCTTTGTGATTGCTTAGCTCCAGAGAGGAAGGCTCTGGGGGTGTCTCAGACCTCAGCTAAAGGGATGCTCTCAGTTTAGGGACCAGATGGTCCCTGCTCCCCTGGCTGTCATGGCCAGTCTGGCCATGGGCTCCTGACCCCAATGTGGACTTGAGTTTAAAGGAAATTTGAAGGGCCCCAGGAGAGAAATGTGTGAAGAGGAAAAGGCTGAAGGTTCTTACATATGTCTACTGGTCCAATACCTTCATAGATCCTGGAGAGAGAAAGAAACAAGTTCACAAGGTGTCATTCCCTGAGAACCTAGGTGCTATCAGAGGGCTCAGTGGACCAGTGGTTCTCGCCCTTGGCTGCACAAGCATCAGGGAGCTTTGAAAAATGACACGTTCCTAATCCCTGCCCCAAAACTATTGAATCAAAATATTTGAGGGAATGTCTTTTTCTTTTCTTTCTTTCTTATTTTAAAACAAGCTAACCAATCAAGCAGAACTCCCTATGATTCTGGTGCAGCCCGTCTACAGGCTTGCACTGAGGGGCACAGATCTAGAGCCATCTTCTAAACCCCTGCGAAGGGCAACCCGCCTAAGGTTTGCAGAAAAAATAGTTACCCCTAGAGAGTGCCCATTTCAGCAATTCTTCACGTAGTTCCCTCCCCCACTTGGTCTTTCTAGAAGCCAGAAGTCTGACCCCACTCCCACCTGCTGCACTGAGAACACTTACCGGCTCTCCTCGCCCTCCAGCAGGTGCTTATAGGTGGCGATCTTTATGTCCAGGGCCAGCTTGACATTCATCAGCCCCTGGTACTCCTTCAGATGCCGTGCCATGTCCTGCTTGACCTGCTGCAGGGCAGCCTCCAGCTCCGCCAGCTTGCACTTGGCGTCGCTGAGGGCTGCCTCTCCCCACTGCTCTGCCTCGGCCACAGCAGCCTCCAGCTTGCAGCGCTGGGGGGAGGGCAGTTTTCAGGTGGGCTTTGGGAGGGACTAGGGGATCCTCAGGTCAGACTAGAAACTCTGCCCCCTGTGAGTGGGCACATAGCCTGGTGCTCAGCCAGGGATGGAGCCCGTGGAGGCTGCTTTCCCAGGGATTGTCATCCTGTAGTTTGATGTCACCAGGGAGCAGAACATTGCTTATCTTCCATTTCTATCCTCACTGATTTTGCACTTACCGATTTCTGCTGCTCTAAGACCAATGGGGTCCAGAGAGTAAAGCCATTCTTTCTGCCTCACCTGCCCCTCTCAGTCAGCCCCAGGTCTTTCCTTCTACATGGGAGACTCTTCCCCTGGTTCCACATTTTCCTCCCCCAGGAAGTCTTCCTGGACTAATTCCTATATTCCTCTGTTTCTCGGTCTGGCGGGTCAGCTCATTGGTCTCATCCCGAGTGTTATGCAGGTTATGCAGGTTGTCACAGTGTTGGCCAGCTGTCACCCGCTTCTCCTCATACTGGGGGGTGGGGGAGAAAGGGGTATTCCGAGGGCTTGAAGATTAGGTCAAGATCACAGCCCACTTTGTTATCCATGAGTCTGACCCCAGGGCTGCCTACACCTTTTCCCCAGCGCCCTCCTGCCCACTTTGGTCTGGTACCAGGCCTCTGCATCAGCCCGACTGCGCCTGGCAATCTCTTCATACTGGGCCTTGATATCGGCGATGATCCCATCAAAGTTCAGGTCCCGGCTGTTGTCTATCTTCACGATGACTGATGTCTCAGAGATGTGTGACTGCAGCAACTGGATTTCCTGTGTTGTAGGATCAGCGAGACAGATGGGCTCAGAGTCCCGTCAGTGGCCAGGGCTCTGCCACAGGGTCCCCAGGATGCGGAGTTGGGGAGAGAGCATTGCTTGTTTGTTCAGAGCAAAGCAATGGGGCAGATCATCCAAACCAAAAGCAAAGAAAAAGAGGTGGCCCAGAACCGTTTCAGTTTGACTTTAAACCCTTGTTATATACTAGGAGACATTCCTTTAACATCTTAACTTCTTAGGTGACTATTAAAACCATGGGGGCCTAAGGACTTGGCGGAGAGGAGTGAGACCTTGCTAAAGCTTAAACTTTCTTTGGTTTATCCACACAGTGGCTGTGCCAGTCTGGATCATTGAGAGCTGACAATATTTTAGAACATGGTGGTCTAGGAATTCCTATATCCCAAGTCCTTAACAGAACCAGGGCTGGGGCTGGGGGAGGGCTGGGAACTGGCCTGCAAAGTGAGGGCCCCAGAGGGAGCTTTCTTCAGCCTTTCCACTCAGAGCCAGCCGTTTAGCTCTGATTGGGTCCATTCCAGACCAAACAGAAGCAAAAGATCGCTAGTTCAGTTGACTAATTAGGTGACACAATTTTTCTCACATCTCCTAGCAAATCAGTTTTCCAGGGTCTTCTCATCAGTAGATAGGAAGTGACATTCCTAGACCCCAGTCTTTAGATTGGTCAACAAGAAGTTGGCTCATAGATCCAAGGAGTTGATTCATAGACCTGAGTCAGGCTACTGGGAAGCCTGCTCCCCTTACGTTCTCCACTTGTACATACATCAACATATAGAGGATATAGATTTGATGGGAGGAAAGATGTATGATATCAAATGTTAGAAAATACACTAGTCCAGTGAATCCCCCAGGGAGTCCAGACCACGCATTGAGCTCCTTGGATAGCTCAGAGGGGATGAGCCCTTACCACCATGCATAGGGTTTTCAGGAAGTTGATATCCTGAGTTAAGGTATCCACGTGGGCCTCTAGATCAGACTTATTTAAGAAAGCTGTATCCACATCCTGTATCAAAGAGGGAAGGATAAGATGCTCATTACTTGTGCACTGTTTAACCTGCCGACCTTGGCAGGCTCTGGAGGTGGGTGGGAAGACCAGGCCAGTTCCCACAGGGCCAGGCCAAGTGGGACAGGTGGGAAAGTCATTGGGTGGAAATACAGCTCAGTGCCTCTTGTTATTCTCCCTTATACAGCATGAAACCCCCGGGGATGCTGGACATTTTCTGATGCTTATTTAGAGGCAAGAAGAGTCTGGATAATCCAAGACTCTTCAAATGTCATCCCTTCAGACCTCTGCTCTCATGAAGACCCGATCCTGAGTCACTGGAGGCCAAATCAGAACTTCGAAGGGAAGCTGTTGTGACCTTAGGGGGTCCACTGTGTGTGAGTATTCACAGGGCTGCCCGGGCAGTGTCCTGGAGCTGCGAGAACATTCGTCTGTCTGGAGGAGAAGTTTGCCTGGGCCTGTTGCTCTCCTTACCTTTTCAGAGCCACAAACTCATTCTCAGCGCTGGCCTGGAGTCCCACCTCCTCTTCATACGTGGGTGATAAGGATGAAGAGGGTGAGTTCTCACTCTGAACTGAGAGCTGATTACTCCCAGCTCCCCACTTATCACCTCTTGTGACCTCTCTGCTCCGTCCAGGAGCCTGGCTCCCTGTTGCCATCTGCATGCTTTCATCCACTCTGTCCCGTCTTTAAGACCTTTTATGAGTCCACGGCGCTTGGTTTCTCCAAATCCCTTTTACTTTCTCAAATTGGATGTGGGGTCTGAAAATCGGGACCTTTGCTATGCTCCTCTGCTGGAAAAGCCTTAGGGTCATTGCACTTAGAGGAGGTAGGACCCTATTTGTGGCTGGACTTAGGCACTGTTCTCAAAACCAGAGAGTTTCTTTTTCTGGGGTCAACTCACCCATGCTCACTGGCAGGATTAGGGACAACCGTGCCCAATTCCAAGTCTCCTTTTTCCTCAGGACCCATGGAGGGCCTCCTCCTCCCATACATATCACATCCCCACCCCTGTCTTCAGGCTGGGAATTGAAACCAGCATTCACCCCTGATCCTTCCAGCAGCTCTCATCCAAGCTTGGTTGCTGCTTTGGGGACCAGCCCGCGCCCATCCTAGGTCAGTGCAGTCCAGCAGCCGCTCACTTCTTCTTGAAACCCTCGGACATCCTGCATGTTGTTCCTCTCAGCCTCTGGCCGGGCCCGTTCGCTGTTCACTACGCCCAGCTGCCTCCGCAGGTTGGTGATGTCGTTCTCCAAGAGGGGCTCCAGGTTGCTCCTGGCGCATTTCTGCTCTTGGAGGAAGTTCCACTTGGTCTCTAGGAGCTTATTCTGCTGGTCCAGGAACCACACCTATATCCACAGGGGCAAGGACATGGCAATTGAAGTGCTTGATATAGTTACCTATATGTCAACATTGCTCAGATGGCCGGAGGTGACTCAAACTTGTGGTGACATCGTTCCTTCCTCTGTTGACTTTAGCTCCTCCTCTAACTCAGTAGAATCTGGCAGAGCAGGTCTACGACCCCTCCTCATGCTCAAGCAGACTTAGCTACAAACAGACGCTTTGGAACCAAAGCTCTTCAACCATTTCCCTTTCAACCCTCTGAGAAAGGCGAGGCCTCGTTCTCTGGGAAGTTGGAGATCGATTCTACCTGAGTTGGGGTTTGCCTATATCTGAAAACTGATTTCAGCCATCCCTAGCAGGGAATGAGGAACAGAGTAAAGTACATTGGGCTGGGATGTGGTATTAGGAGGTGGGAACTCTCAGGTCATAAGTCATACCCATCACCCCAGAAATTCCATCAGCTGAGACTTATAGAGACTTATAGACTTATAGAGCATAGAGGCCATTTGCTCCAACCCCTCATTTCGGAGTGAAATGAAGCTCACAGAGGTGAGTTTCCAATCTCAGACACAATAGAGCATCCCCACTTCATGGAGACACCGTCTGGGGTTTGGGGCTGTGTCAGTTCCACCTCTCTGTTCCTCTCATCAGCCTGAAGACAAGCGACCACCAGTGGTCATTCCCTACTGTTTCCCTCAATCTAGGCGACTCGGCTGAATCTGGATATCCCAGGTGGGGGAGGGGCATGAATTCTTTGCTTTGTACAAAAATTACTCAACCCCATTCTCCATTTCTTTAAGCTTGAACCGGTGTGGCCACTCAGCCTCAGAAACCGTGAAAACTTCAAAGAGAGCATGAGGATCTCAAAGGATAAAATCCCTTAAACCTGTACCAGCCAACACCTGGTGGAGGTGTTAGTGTTTCTAGCCTGTTTGGGAGATATTTCTAAGTGACCAGGTGGTAGGTCTTAGTTTGTTCAGATGCCTTCAGATTTGGCTGGATGTTCCTCCTTCCCCCAGAAGACACCAGCACTGTCTTAATCCATCCCTCCATGCAGTGCTTCCTCGGGCTCGTCCTTGCTCTGCAGCAGAGTGACCCAGAAATCATACCGCCATGCCTTTGGCTGGTGCCTGAAGGACCTGTGGTCAAGGTCGATGCCCTAGGTCTGGACCAGTTCTTCTTAAGGGAAAGAACATCTCAGTGCATTTAGCTCTCATCATCCCAGACCCAGAGGTTGAGCTGTCACAAGTACCTTGTCGATGAAGGAGGCAAATTTGTTGTTGAGGGTCTCGATTTGCTCCTTCTCATCCTTCACCCTCTGGGCATCAGGGTCAATCTCCAGGCTGAGGGGGGTCAGCAGGCTCTGGTTAACAGTCACTGCTGTGATGGATGGGGCTGCTGGCACGCCAGCTCCTCCAACTCGGTAGCCAAAGCCAGGGCCGCCGAAGCCATAGCCGAGGCCACTGCTGGCTCCAAACCCCAGACCAGCACCACTCCCATCACCAAAGCCAAAGGCCATCCCACCGCCAGAACCAAAGCCAACTCCATAGCGGATGGGCCGAGGGCACACAGCTACTATCCGGGGTGAGCGTGATCCAAACCTGATGACACTCCGACTGCCAAAGCTGCTAAGACCCTGGAAGCGGGGCCCACTCCTGCAGGAGACAGAGCTGGCCTGGAAGTGGTTCAGGTTCTGGGGGGTCATTGCTGAGCAAGAGCTGAAGCTGCCCACACAGCGACCAGAGCTGACTGTGTAGGAGCGGCAAGACGTGACGGTGTCCTGGGTGAGAGGCAAGCAGCGACTGCACAGCAGGGTGAGCTGGAGCTGGGAGGCCCTCTGAGGCCAGTGGATCCCTCTAAGCACTTTTACGTGTGTGGGGATCTGAGGATTGGCCCCATAAAAATGGAAAAAGCCATTTGGAAGCATTTATGAGCTTGGGTAGTTAGCAGAAAGTCTTCCAGCCTGTAACCTCCTTCACAATGAGCTAATCTCAGACACACCTATTTTCCTCAGAATCAGGGCCATAACATCAAACCTATAAACATTAAAAACATATAAACACGTAAACATTATGGTCCTACTTTTTCCACAAGTCCACCACTATTGCCATTATGGGGACCTTAATTTGCTTTGGTCATAAATCCAATAGACTTTCCACAGCAAGTGTGGCTAACCACCAGCAAGTTAGGATGGTAACTGCTCCAGCAAGAGGCTGCAAGGGATGCAGCTATACAGATAACCCCCTTAATAGATGGGGGTGTGCAGAAGACAGGCAGGGTCTTCATAGCTCTAAGTAAGAAATGATATGGTGAGAATACAGTTTGTTGCATCCCTGTAGATGGATTAAACAGTCCAAAAACATTTTGCAGTGTTTTATCTAACCTCTATGATCTGATTTGACTGTTTACATAAAAATTGAATCATCACTAAAGCTCATTTGGGATAGTGTAGATACATGTCTGATTTGAGACCCTCAAAGGAGATCCATTCATTCATACATTCATTTATTCATTTGACAATTACCAGTTACTCTCTCTCAGGTAATGTGCTTGGTGCCGAGGGTACAGAGATAAAAAGATGGTCTCTATCCTCCTGGTGGTGGGGCGAGATTAATCTTGAGGACTCCTACCAACCAATACTTCTGTGGCATAGTTTGAGGCCAAAATTATGTATGATTTGGCCATGTATCTGTGTGGAAAGTTAACCACATGATTTTGAGCCCCCAAAATACACATTAGGGCTGATCTATAGTCCTGCCTACGCAGGTTCCTTGCATTATCGATGAATCTTTGGTTAGGAGGGAGAGACACCGAGCCATAAGCATCTGGGTAGGAAATGAAAAGTTCTAAGTCACTGGATATCATTATCATTGTTAATCAATGTTGCAGGTATTTCAGGACCCAGAGACAGATGTTTGCCTTTTCTATTCTAGAGAGTGACATGATTTGTCCTACTTGTCTATGCCTGGGGGAACTTGTGCTTGACTGGATGCTCACTTGGGATTCTACTTGGAAGCGGATATGTGCTTTTCTCTGGAGCTATCCATCTCAGGTCTTCACTATTTTCTTCCTTCCCAATCTCTGTACCTTTGATTTCTTTTTCTTGTTTTACTGCATTAGCTAGGACTTCCACCTTGACGTTGAAAAGCAGTGGTGAGAGGGGCATCTTTGCCTTATTCCTGAGTTTTGGTGGGGAATCTTCAAGTTTCCTACCATTAAGTACAAGGTTAGCTGTGGTTTTTTCATAGATATGTATATTTTTTGTCAAGTTGGGGAAGTTCTCCTCAGTAAAACTGTTTACTACTGTTTTATACAGACCCAGCTGTCAGGTGTGTGTCTAAAGGGAGAAGCAGAAAAATAATAATAACACAATACTTCTTGTGAAGATTGCAAGTGACCTCCAGGTTGCTAAAATCACTGGTCCGTTCTCAGCTCTCATTTAACTTAGCAGGAGCCTCTCACTGTTGTGGCCTCTCCCGTTGCGGAGCACAGGCTCCGGACACGCAGGCGCGGCGGCCATGGCTCACGGGCCCAGACGCTCCGCGGCACGTGGGATCTTCCCGGACCGGGGCTCGAACCCGTGTCCCCTGCGTCGGCAGGCGGACTCTCAACCACTGCGCCACCGGGGAAACCCCCACATGTATATTTTGATCAACATCTCTACTTGGATACCGATTAGGTATCTCAACCTTCATCTGTCCAAAGCTGTTCTCCCGATTGATTGTTCCTATGAAATATGTTCCACTTGCCGGGCTCACTATCCCTGCAGTGGCTCAGGCCAAAAATCTGGGAGTCATCCTTTATTCCTCAGCTTTTTCCATATCGCACATTCAATCCATTGGCAAGTCCTACCTTCAAAATATACCTGGACTCCTACTGCTTCTCATCACCCCACTGCTACCATATTGGTCCAAGCCCATCACTCCTCACAGGGTCTATTGAAGTCTCCTTCCAGCTAGTCACCCGGCTTCCTCCTTTGCCCCCTCTGACTTTCCTTAACACCATAGTCAGAATGGTCCTTTAAAAACATGTCAGATCATGCCATTTCTAAGCTCATATGCCTCTGGTGGTTTCCCATCCCGCTCAGAGTAAATGCCATACAGGACTCTGCAGAGTCTGCTCTCCTCTTTCACTGACCTCACTTCCCTCTATCCGTCCTACTGCTCACCCTGCTTCAGCCACTCTGGCCTACTGTGTGTCCATCAGACAGGCAGGAAAACTCCTACTCAGGGGCCTTCCCATTTGCTGTTTTTTTTTTTTTTTTTTTTTTCCTGCTGGGAACTCTTTTCCTGCAAATGGCTACGTGGCCGGGTCCCTCAACTCTCCCAGTTCTTTGCTCATGGGTCGCCCCCTCCCCTGTGTACTCTCTATTCCCCCTCCCTGCTTCCGCTTCTCCTTAGAAGTGCGTACAGTCTGAGGTCCTTTCCTGCATGGATTTGCCTGTTTATCACCTGTCTTCCCAGGCTGGAATATAAGCTCCAGGAGGCAGGCACTGTTGTGTGTTTCTTTCCTCCTCTGTGTCTCCTGCTTAGGATAGCGGGGACATGTGGGAGGCATGCTATGTGGTTTTGTTGAATGAATGAAGACACCGCAAAGATTAAAAGCAGGAGGAAAAAGGGAGAAAGGACAGGGGGTGAAAGAAGAGGAATTTGGGCATATGGCTTTGCATTTCAGGAAGAGGAGACTCTAGTCTCCAAAATGGACAGGAATGACCCTGAGGAGGATGGTGCAGAAATCCAAGAGCTCAGAGAGCGTCAACCCAGTTTGCCCTCCAGCTCCAGCCTCTTGGGGTGTGAGCCTGGCTGCTTGGAGGAAACAGCATCCCCCTCCGCTGAGGCCAGGTAAGGGGATCCAGGTGACTGGGAAGGGGATGGGGGACTCCTGTGGAGGAGAAAAGGGGACGGGAGCAGGAGGGATGGTATAGAGGACACCAGTGAGTGTGCCAGGCCGGGAACGGAAGAGTGACGCAGCCCTTGGAGTCAAATGGAACTGGGTTCAATCCCAATTTTGCCATCAGTCAGCAGTGTGACCTTGGGCAGTGGCATGGGAAGGGCACGGTAGTGGCACACCCTGGATGCAGGCAGTCAGGGGTGCTTGTCTGTAGAGAACTTAAAAACAACAATACACCCAACTAAAAGTCTGCTTGCCTTTCATTATCACTGTGCAACATTCGCCCTCCATGGTATACAAATGACCTGGGGAAATTGTTTAACCTCTCTAAGCCTCAGGTTCTTCATCTGTAAAATGGAATTATACCTACTGCACAGTATGTGCGGGTTACATGTGAAAATGTTTGGGGTGTATGCTGTGTGGAGCCTGGTGTGGTTATTGTCATCCATTCCTTTCCCCCCTCTTTTTCTCTCTGCCCCCTTCCCCTCTCTTTTGCACAATCCTCCTTTCACTGGTAAGCCGTCATTTCTGTTCCCATCCAGCACCCCACCTGCTTCCTGCTCCAGTGGCTGTGGCATCATTACCCCACCAGCCATTCCCGGGGCTGTCCTGTGGTTCAGCTTCCTTCAACCTTAACAGCGCAGGCGGGGTGGCGGTAATTGAGACCAGTCACGCATAACCCCTTTTCTGAGATGGGCTGTCACCATCAGCAGTTTATACTTGTGAGGCATTATTTCATCAGACAATGCAAAACACAATCCTCAGCCATTTCTTAAAGGGTGGCAGGTGGGGAGAGGGGAGTTGTCCTGGAAACTCTGGGCTGGGGCTTTTGCTGCTCTGACAGTTTCTCTTTCCTGTTGAGAGTTGGTCTGGATGTAATCCTGAGATCTGCTGGCTGAGCTAGTGTAGACAGATTGCTGGCTCATCTTGATGCTAACTGCCTGGGGCGGAGGGGGAGCTGCTGATGAGGGCTAGGTGGGGAGGAGGGGATGGGAGGGGAAGGGGGCCATCCTGGTTGGCTGAGCAGAGCCTGTGAACCCTGGGCGCACAGTGGCTGCACTGTGTGTGTGTGTGTGTGTGTGTGTGTGTGTGTGTGTGTGTGTGGATTGTGTGTGTGCACGCGCATGCCTGTGGGAGGGGAGGAGGGTGGCAGGGAAATCCAGATGGTGAGAAGGCTTTGCTAAAGCTACCTTCTTCAGATGTTTCCGTTTTGCCTATAGGGACAAGTTTGCGCAGGAGAGAGGCACTCACTGGGAGGTGTTCAGGCTGAGACCTGCCCTGGTGGGAAGGGAAGCTCAGGGGACCCCCAGAAGAAGGAGGGGGGCGATGAGGAGAGAGCTCTCTGCCCTGTCAGACTACTGATGCTTGGATAGAATCTAAGCACCTCCCAGGAGAGTCAAAGCACCCGTCTTGCTTGAGCCCATCCCCACCCTTGCAGGCAGAATGACTTTTTTCAGGTTTAGCCCAAATTCTTCACTTGCCCACACAGTTATCACCTGTCAGGGTGAAATGTGACAGGTGACCTGCTCGCAGGCGTGCAGGTCAGTTTGCTTCAACAAGCCTTTATTGGGTGTTGATGGGAGCCCGGCATCAAGATTAGGTGCTGGGATGCCTGCTGGGTGCAGCCCTCTTCCTTTTACCACACTCAGTGATCCTAAGTTCCCCTCCTCTGCCCACAGTTCCATTTCTGCAGCCATTTCCCCCAATCCGAGCCCCAAGGGGAGAGAGGCGGTAGTGGGTCCACCTGGGGCCGCTGATGGGACTCGGATGAGGAAGGGATCCTGGGGGACCCAGGGGAAGGGCAGAGGGCATCTGAGGGAGGGCACAGTGGGGCGAGGAAGGCTCTCCTAGGGAGAAGACGGACAAGAAATGGGAGACATTCGGGGGAGACGGACACAAAAACAAGGGGCTTCATTCAGGGTCCTCCCACCCGCCCCAGGCCTCTTTGGGCTGTTCCCCACCTGTCCTCATGGGGGCGCTCTGGGAAGGGCTGGGATTTGGATTCCCGAGGCCGAGTGGAATGCAGGGAGGCTCTGGCTTCCAGCAGTCGGCTCTCCCTTCCTTCCAAGGGCAGGGCGGGGCCTGATCCTCCCTATAGGTGCAGGGTGGGTCCTGGGAGAAACTCAGATGTCTGCCCAGGTAATGGAGGTGAACCGCCCAGGGAACCACCGGGAGGCACTTTTGTCCTGCCTGCCTAGAGTCACCTCCTCCCTGGAGAGAGGGGGAGAATGGGGGCACGGCTGCACAGCACTGAGGGGGATGCCCTGGTGGAGGCTCTAGAAGGGCGCGCCGGGGCCTGTAGCTCACGTCCAGGACTGAGCTGGGGTGCCCCCACTACTGGGATGAGTCTGCCTAGTGGATGGTTCCAGACAAGTCTCCCCTCCCCTGGGGCCTGGGCCACTCTGGGATGGGAATTCCCAAAGGGATGGTCGCCAGGCTCAAGCCCACCTCATTGTGAGGGTGGGGGGATCTTCTCTCCTTCTCCTACTTTACTCCACTGGGGTGCCTCCTGGGCCTTGGGTAGTCATCTTTGGGACAGAGGTGGGTGGCCTGTCATCATCTCTGTTTCTGCTGACTGCATTCCTGTAGTTTTCAGAGCTTTGAGTGCTTAATCAGCAAGGAGCTTAGCTGGCTCTAGGGACAGGTCCGGAGTGACAGGGCTTCAAGTGGGAATGGAGGCCATGAGGCCCCCCTTGTCCCACCCCCTCCTTCCCTGGGTGTGGATGTGCATCCCTAAAGTCACCGGCCCTCACCCGTCTGACGCTGCACACTCTGGTTCACGGCTGCTGATCCCTCAGCCTGGAGCCCCCGCTGGGCTTCCTTGCTTCCCCTCAGTCCTGCTGGCCTTTGGGATCCAGCTTGCCTGCCCCCTCCTCGGGGGATCTTCCCGAGGCCTGTGACCAGGGTAGGACCCTCAGTTATGTCCTCCTTCACAACAAGCCTGACATCTGTAATTTCCTGTTCCAGGTCTGTACACTCAGGTAGGCTGTAAGCCCCAGGGGCATGGATTGGGGCCAGGGCCCCATTTTAAAAAACTAGCTTTATTAAGATATAATTCACATATCATATACTTTGCTCATTGAAAGTGTACAATTCAGTGGTTTTAGTATATTCCCAGATAAGTGCAACCGTCACCCCAGTCCCTTTTAGAATGTTCTCATCGCCTCAAAAGAAACCTTTGGCTGTGCCCCCCCCCCCCCCCCCCACTCCATCTTCTCTTCCCTCCAGCCCACTAGGCAACCACGGATCTGCTTTCTGTCTCTATAGATTCCCCGAATCTGGAATTTCATATGAATGGAATCATAGAATATGTGGTCTCTGTGTCTGGCTTCTTTTATCTCCCTCATGTTTTCAAGGTTCATCCATGTTGGAGCATGTATTTATACTTTACTCCTTTTTATGGCCAAATAGTATTTCATTGTATGGAGAGACCAAATTTTGATTATCCATTCATCCACTGATGGACATTTCGGTTGTTTCCACCTCTTGGCTCTTGTGAATAGTGATGCTATGAACATTCACGTACGAGTTTTCGTGTGGACACGTTTTCATTTCTCTTGGGTATCTACCTAGGTGTGGAATTGCTGGGTCACATGGTAACTCTATGTTTAACATTTTGAAGAACTGCCGGACTGTTTTCCAAAGTGGCTGCACCAGTTTATGGTCCCTACCATGGGCTCTAGGAACTGTGTCTACTGTCCCTACTGGTAGGTCAGCCCTGACTGGGGCTGCCTTGTTCATCACAGAGACACCAGCCCCTGGGTGGTCTGACCCATAACAGGTGCTTGATAAATATTATATTGAGTGAATGAAAAAGCAAGTGGGTGGGTTCTTTTTAATATGCTGCCCATAAGTCAGTAACCCTTGTCCGTTCAGACCCTGTCCTTGTAATCTTCTCTGTGAGCTTCCCTCTGATCTCCTTGCCTGGCATAATCACAAGTTGCTTTTCCTTGTCATTTCCATTCTCTCTGGCTGTCACTGCTTATGACTCCTCTGTGAGGCTGAGAGTCACTCTAGGGTTCCGAGCGTGTTGTAGTCACCTCTGTATCACCAGCTTCTAATGCAGGTCTTGGCACAGAAGAGATGCCCTATGCGGGCCTGTGGGGGAAGAGGAGATGCACCCCAGCGCTCAGGAGAGGGGAGCCACAAGGGGGCATCTGTAGTGGGGGGATTGTTACAGGGGATCAGTGAGGCAACAGTGAGGGTATCAGGGCCAGGCAGAGGGTGGAACCGCTGTCACCAAGTCTCATTTCCAGGTCTTGGGGATCCCAAGAGGGAGAGGAGGCTAGGGGGCGCCCCGCCCTAGCCCATCTGCTGCCACGCCCTAGCCAGTCTGCTGACCATCTTTCCTGCTTTCCCCAGGCCTGCACCTGCCCTGCCTGGGGACCTGGCTGGGGAGGCAGAGCCCAGGCTTTGAGGCTGCCGAGTACAGACATGACAGACTTTCTCTAGGACATATGCAGGGGACCATGTGGTGAGGAGGCCTGTGGGGAATAGGGCTGTGGTTTTTAAGGTGGCAGGTGACTTGCAAACTATTGGGGTGTAATGTGCAGGTTTTAAGTGGAATGTGTATGGCTCCACACTCACTCCACAGGCCACTTGCCAATCATTCATATGTAGTTTTCCCTTTTGTATAATAACCTCTCTTTCCACTCCCAACCCCACACACCGCACCAGCCCCCAGTTCCCCAAAGCTGCCCATCAGTTCCCCTTCAGCCTCATTGCCCTCCACAGAGCAGGGCCAATAATCCTGATTCCTGTAGCCTGGGAACAGTCAGTTGATTGGCAATAGATGAGCCCAGAGGCTCATGGCAGAGATGTGGATCCCTGGGTGGGCAGGGCTTCTGAAGATGCAGCACAATTTGGGGGTAGGGGTTGTGCTCTGGTGGGGTCAGCTCAGCACCTCCTCTCCCCTCGCAGCCCCTGAGTCGGGGCCTCCAAGTGTGCTGAGGCAGTCCCGCATCACTGCAGCCAGGAAAGCACATTCATATCAGACCCAAAGCAAGAGGAACTCAAGGGAGAGGGAGCAGGGCAGGGTTGGCTACGTGCAGAGGGTAGGGGTGGGGCTGAATCCATTGTCCCTTTGTTCAGTAAATACTCCATGTCCCCTTGCCTTTGTGCTATAGGCATTTCTTAGCAGTCAGCTGCCACTGTGAGCTCAGGAAAAAATGTATTTTTATAGTGCCAGTTCAACACACCTGAGCAGGTAAATCTACTGCCCAGAGACCACCTCTTGATTCTGTGTGCTAACTGAGAGGAACATGGACAGGTCGCGAGCGAAGCTGAAATCCTGGCACTTGGCTTGGGAATTTGGAATAGGGTTTGGGGGTATTTCGATATTTGTAATAGTGCGTGTATTAGGTGGGTGTTAAAAGGAGTTCACTTTTGGGCTTCCCTGGTGGCGCAGTGGTTGAGAGTCCGCCTGCCGATGCAGGGGACACGGGTTCGTGCCCCGGTCCGGGAAGATCCCACATGCCGTGGAGCGGCTGGGCCCGTGAGCCATGGCCGCTGAGCCTGCGCGTCCGGAGCCTGTGCTCCGCAGCGGAGTTCACTTTTTAGGCGCATGACAGACCAGACCGAGGTAAGAGAGGAGGGGAATGTCCGGGGGTCAGGGGAGGCTGGCTTTGTGGGGAAAGTTCCATGCGATGATCCACAAAGCAGAACTGTGATGTGCCCATTTGGCCTTCTCATGGGGAAGAGAAGTATTTGGGGGCCATTGCCATTCTCTTGGCCGCACTAGAGCCTGACTGTCAGTGGTCCAGATATACGGCGGATGCATTTTCGTTCTTTGCATCCCACCCCCACCCCAGGACCTAGCACAGGGTCTGCACACAGCTAAGTGAAAGGTGACTCTTGAAGATACCTGAGGGGCAGCTCACTGAGAAAACCCAAGGGAAAACTTCGATCAGTATAGGAAGGTGGGATTTTGGAACAGCCTTGTCTTCAACCCTGGTGGCAGGGGGACAACAGGCTGGGGGCTGTCCAGGCTGGGGGCTGGTGCCCTGTCCCCTGGGCTTCTAGCCTCTGGGGCTGTACTAACACTTGTGGCAGGAGGAGCCACCTCCAGCCCCTAGCTTCATGCTGAAGTTCTGCCTGCTTCCACAGCCCAGTAGCCCCTGGGGCTCACAGGGGATGTAGATTTCACTGGTACCCATGATGCTGTGGCCCCCGCTCCTCTTGAGGACACTGGTGTCCCCTGGACAGTACATGGGTGTGCTGACCACACTTGGCTCGTAGAGGATGTGCCTTTGGAGCTGCTCACAGCTGCGGGAACAGGAAGGGATACTCAGGGCCCTGCCCTGAAACATCTTGGCCAGGCCAGGCCCCCACCTGCTGCAGCTCACTTCTAAGGACATTCCCATCCCAGCTACCAAATTCCATGTCTCTCACTCTGGCCACATAAAGTGCGTAGCTGTTCCCCACGTGTCTCTCCTCTTGCCCCAGGGCCCTATCTTCTGCTTCACCCTCTCTGTTTCTATTTGTCTGAGCCTGCTTCAAATCCTCTTTCTCCAGAAAAGCATCCCCTTGTCTATATGGTTCCTTGCAGCTTCTGGGCCCTGAAGCACTGGGACCACGCTGAATGTCTGCCCCTGATTCTCACTCCCATAGACTTGGGTAGCTCTGAGGGAGAGCCTCTCCATCTTCCAGGAGCTCCAGGCAAACAGAACTCTTCCTTCGGGGTGGGGGAAGAACGCTGAGGTTTGGGCAGGGGCCAGTGCGGTCTATTATGGGTCGATCAGCTCCCAAGACCCCAGAACCGCTGGGGAGGGCTCATCCACTCACAGATATTCACGGGCCCAACACCTTCATGCAGGCTGGGCGTGGGAGGCAAAGGAGACACAAGGGAACCGCATCAGAGAATGAGGCCAAGAAGCACGCGGCACCCCACCGCTTCTGCCTGCTCTGTGGACCCTGTCAACGAGGAGGGCCTGTGGTCTGCCTGCTGTTTTAGATTTTCCACGACTGTGAGATGGGCAATGGCAGCAGCAGCAACCAGAGGGCAGGAGAATAGGCACACCTGGTGCCCATCCTTGACTGACCCGTGCTCCTCGCCCTCCAGCAGGCGCCTGTAGGTGGCGATCTCGATGTCCAGGCCCAGCTTGGAGCTCATCACCTCCTGGAACTCCTTGAGCAGGCAGGCCATGTCCCGCTTGGCCTTCTGCAGGGCCTCCTCCAGCCCGGCCAACTTGCACTTGGCGTCGTTGAGGGCCGCCTCCCCCTGCTGCTCTGCCTCGGCTATGGCACCCTCCAATTTGCAGCACTGGGAGGAGAGGGCACAGAAAGGCATTATGGGGCACCCTGGAGCCCTGGGCTGACTCTTAGAACAGAGAACATGGTCGTTGTGAGGCAATTAGAACCAATATATATTGGTCTCTTCCCCCAGTTTCTGGACAGAACGCCCCCAAACCTTGTAATTTCCTAAGTGATAAGCACACTAAGATCATCCTTCGCTCTAACATTTGGTCTTTGACCCTGGTTTCTGACACAGAGGCCCTTAGAACTTCCCGGTATTGGCAATTTCCTGGTTATTGGCAATGTCTTTTGTTTAATTAAGGTGACTCTAGGTAGGCTCCTGGATGGGGACTTGTCACCAGAAAGACCAAGCCATGATTAGAAGCTGGGAATTTTCAGCCCACCCCGCAGATCTCCCGAGAGGGGAGAGAGGCTGGGAACGGAGGTACTAATTGATCATGCCTATGAGAGGAAGCTCCATAAAATCCCAACAATAGAGGATTCAGAGAGCTTCCAGGTTGGTGACCAGGTGGAGGTGTGGAGAGAATGGCACGCCTGGAGAGGGCATGGAAGCTCCACACCCCTCCCACATACCTTTCCTTATCCATCTCTTCCACCTGGGTGTTCATCCGTATCCCTTATCATATGCTTTTATAATAAAGCAGTAGATGTAAAGGAATCTATTTTCCTGAGTTCTGTGAGTGACTCCAGCAAATTAATCGAATCCGAGGAGGGGGGTCATGGAGACCTCCAATATATAGCCGATTGGTCAGAAACACAACCTGGACTTGCGATTAGCATCTGAACTGGGGGCAGCCTTGTGGGACTTGGGGGGCAGTCCCTAACCTGTGGGATCTGATGATGTCTCCAGGTAGGTAGTGTCAGAAGTGCGTTGAGTTGTAGAACACCCAGCTGGTGTTGCAGAACTGGTTAGTATGGAAACACCCTTCCCCCATATTTGGTATCAGTAAGTGTTGTGAATGTGATAGTGGGAGGGTAAAGGAGGGACACAGGAGGAAGAGTGAGTTTTTCCTACAGTCATGGTTATGTGCCATATTCAAATCTGCTGTGGGTTTCATCCTAGGATTGTGACATCTGGTTCCTCTGGGGGATGGGGACCAGTTCTCCTGTCTATAACACCTCAAGGAGATCTGTGAATTTCCTCTAGATAAGCCAGCAATTTCTTTGTGACTAATAGATTTTAAGTGTCTGCCTGGTCTTCACTAGCCTAGGAGAAGAGAGTGAGTCTGAGTTTATGAACTCTGCGGGGTCACCTTGAATTTCAGGATCATAGAATTAGAGTCTTTGGTTGGAAGGGGCCTTGGAGAACATCTTTTCTATACTCCCATCTAGTGAAGCATCCTTGCTCTTCCATCTTGATGAAAGTAGGTTGCCTAGCCTCTGTTGGGGGCCTCACTGTTTCCTGAGCCTGCTCATCCTGCTGTGGGTCAGCTCTTCTGTAGAAAGGGCTCGCTCCCTCTCGTGGGAAACAGCGCAAGTTTACTCCCTCCTCAACTGGGCCCCCAGGGAGGATGGACCCACCCATCGTGACCAAGACCAGATGGCGGGTTACCCTGTGATGGCCTCATCTGGGCTTTGACATTCTCAATGTCTTGCTGCAACCACTGGATCAGCTTGTTTATTTCCAGAATCTCGTTCTTGCAGTTGTGGAGGTTGTCACAGTGGGTCCCGGCTGTCAGCCGCAGCTCCTCATACTACCAGATAGGGAGGTCAGAACCTGGGCACCCACACTGTGGTCCCTTCCAGCCCCCTTTCCCACTGTCCCCCGTGTCTCCTCTCCTGACTTCCTGGGTCAGGTGCTTTTGGATTCGTATACTTGTTCTGTTCCCCATCCCCTATCCATTTCTGGTCCTTTTCTGGGCTACTCCTTATTCCTTTCTCATATTCCAGCCCTGAATCTTTAGGCTTATTAAATTCTCCTCTAAGCTCCAAACTCCCCTCCTCTCTGTTTAGTGATTCTGTGTCTTGTCCTTTTATCTCTGACCTGGGATTTCCCTCCTTTTTTCTCCATCCCTGCTCTGGACCTTGGAAAGAGATTCTGTGCTCAGCCTGGGGTACCTAACAGACCAAGGACTGAGGATACAGCACGTCTGCCCCCACCAGGGTGAATATGTTTGTATATTCTCATTCAAAACAATTGAAGGGCTTCCCTGGTGGCGCAGTGGTTGGGAGTCCACCTGCCGATGCAGGGGACGCGGGTTCGCGCCCCGGTCCGGGAAGATCCCACATGCCGCGGAGCGGCTGGGCCCGTGAGCCATGGCCGCTGAGCCTGCGCGTCTGGAGCCTGTGCTCCGTAACGGGAGAGGCCACAACAGTGAGAGGCCTGTGTACCGCAAAAAACAAACAAACAAAAGAAACAATTGAAAACAAAATGCAATATTATTTCCTATCTTGGCTTAACACTTTAAAAAAAAATCTTTTGCACATTGAATCTAATTTCTGAATAGTGTGTTATAGATTACATTAATATATTAAAAAATTAGCCTACTTTATATTTTCTGCATATAATGGATGGGAGCATTTTGCATAGAAAATGCAAAACAAGATAAGCACAAGTCACTCTCTTTGGTTATTGTGAAAACGCCTGTAGTTGTCCAATCAATACCCATTCTTCTCTTCTTCAAACAGAAGCCCAGATAATAGAATATTTCTCAGCTTTCTCATCAACGAGGTGCATGGCCATTGCTGGGTAGGGCTTCTAGGAAAGCTGTTTAAAGTCAGAGATGATTCAGTTGTCATGTTCTTTTCCCCTCTCTTCTTCTGCCTGCTTGCAATGAACACGTGAGATTGGTGGTATCGCAGCCATCTTGGGACATGGGGCAACCATGAGGATTAAAGCACTATGCTAGGAATGACAGAATAGAAAGCTAGAAGGAGCCTGTGTTCCTGATGGTAACATAGAATCCCAGAGTCATCTGTGGTCAGTCCATTTCTTTACTTTCAAATTATTTGAGAAAAAAGTAAAAATCAAATTGGTTTCAATTTGATTTCTGATCTTCACAGCTAAATACAATTTTTAAATAATAGAGTTATCTTCCTGGTTCTGACTTAGGAGGATGGGAAACTGAGGTTATTTTTCCTGAGCCCACCTGACTGATGAATGGCCCAGGAGAGCAACTGGAGGAGGGGCCAGCTGGAGCAAAACCTGGCTGTGGGTGAGCCACAGACTGAGTCACAGGGAGCTGACGCCAGGCCAGGGTTTGATACCTTGATCACCATGGATCTCCAGAAAAAGGGTAGAGCATTGCTTGGGACACTCCCTGGAGATTGGTACCCATTGCCTTCAGAAAAAAGTCCAAAGGCCTCAGTGCAGCTCTGCAGATCTGCTGCGATCTGGCCCTGTGTCTCCAGCTGCATTTCTTTCATGGTGCTTCCTTTCATGCTTCTCCGGCCTGGCTCTGGTGGCCCCTCAGCCAGACGTCCTTTCCCCCATGCTTATGGAAATCATACTTGGCCTTCGAGATCCAGACCACATCCCAGTGCCTCTGCCTTTCCAGACACAATTTGTTACTTCCATCATCATCCTATTCCCTTAGCCTGCAGCTTGACCTTAGCGGTCACTTCATGCTACCTCGTATTTCAGTTTGGCTGGTTACACGTTTCTCTCCCGTGGACTGTAATTTCCTTGAGGATGGGGATGGTGTGACTCTTAGTATCCTCATGGTTCCACACACCCCAGTAAGGCCCTCCTTCCCTGGCAACCCTGTTGAAAACCATATTCACACCACACTCCCTACACTTCATCCTGATTTATTTTCTCCGTAGCTCGTGTCCATCTAACATACATCCACTGTACTTATTTGTCTTGCCTGTCCCGCCCCTGCCCCGTGCCTCTGGAATGAAAGGGACGCGAAGGCAGGGATTGTTTGTGCTGTTCCCTGCTGGACCTCCAGCACCTAGAAAGGTGCTTGGCAAACGATGGATGCTCAATAAATGAATGAATGAATGAGTGAGTGAATAATAATGGTGCCTTTCACAGATAGGGTGGGCAAGACTGAGATGATAATATTTGTTAAATCAAATTGCCCTCAGGGACACCAACTGCCCTCCCAGCAAGGCCCTAATTACCTAAGTCTGGGGCCACCTGAATCACGGTTTCTGCTCCACTATTAGTAACCACCCCATGCCATTAGCCTCCTCCCACGCCCAGAAGCTCAGAGTCCTCTTTGTCATCATTGCCAATTAGCATTCCTTGCCATTTAGCATTCCTTGCCACACCACGGCCTGGGTGTGGCATGGCCCTCAGTCTCTCCTCACCCGCTTCCTGGGGGATAGTGGGTCTGGGGTCCCCCGGGCCCCGCCTGGGCCTCACCCGGCTCTGGTACCAGGCCTCTGCTTGGGCTTTGCTGCTGCTGGCGATTTTGTCGTACTGGGCCTCCATCTGGGAAACGATGCCGTCCGCCTGCAGCTCCTGGCTTTTGTCCATCTTCACAATGATGGAGGTCTCTGAGACCTGAGACTGCAGCAGGCTGATCTCCTGGGTGTGGGGACCCTGGGAGATTGGCCCCTGGCTGACCACCTGTGGGCAGCATGGCTGCAGGTACCTCCTCATATAAGCTTTTCAGGAAGTCAATCTCCTGGACCAGAACCTCCACATTGGTCTCCAGGTCAGCCTTTATCAGGAAGGCTGTGTCCATATCCTGCGGCCAGAGAAGTGACAATCGTAACCTGGGGCCACCCCTCTGCCAGCTGGGCCACCAGGCAAGGTGGTGGCAGGTGGCGGGTGTGGGACCCACGTTTCCTCACTTAGGCCTATGTGGAAGGGAAGGGGTGACAAAGCCAAGGATGGAGTGAGGGGTCCCCAGCCCCAGGACCCCATGCCTGGGCCTGGCATTCTGATGGGGAAGCATCTGAAGACGATGGGGTTAAAGGAGCCTTGAATGCATTCCTCAGAGCTCCCCATGGACCTCAGGCCAGAAAATACGTCGCTATCTATGAGAGGGATCAACAAGATGATTTTCATCTCTGGGAGTCTGAGTCACAGTCTTTGTTTTGGCTTTGATGTGGCATTTGCAACATTTCCAGCTTCTTGGGCAGGTGTAAATACAACCCTTAACATGAGTTGGGAGGTGGAGGCCAGGTCAGTCCCTGCCCTTCTGCAAAGGGCGGGGGAGGCTGGCCTTCCTCTCTCCCAGGGTCAGTGGGGCTGACACCAGGGTCTGCGGGGTGGGCGGGCTGCAGGCACATTTGGACACGGTCCAGGGGCTGAGTGTCCCCAGGCCCAGTGGGCCAGCTCAGGGGGCCTTCTCCCTCCCTGGGCCATCCTCCCTCACCTTCCTTCAAGGCAACAAACTCATTCTCAGCAGAGGGCTGCAGGGAGAGCTCCTCTTCATATCTGGCGGAATGGGCAGGGGAAAATGTTTTAGTCGGGCTTGTGGGGTTTGGAAGGGAGTTGGTATCAGGCCTGAGGGTAGGAGCCTCTGGGGGCAAATCCATGTCTCACCGACTGAATGTCCTAGGGAGGCACCAGGTCCAGCCCCATCTCTGGACACCTCTGGCTCCTCCATCCGCTCAACACAGATGACTTTTATCATAGCCTCTCATTAGCCACTTTGCAAGTTTACCTTCCATGCTACTGCCCAGTAGCCTGTTCCTGTGTCGAATCATTCTCTGGGAAGTCCTTCTTAAAGTTACCTTTATTCTATCTTGCTGCTGAGGAAGCTTACCTCATCTAGTCATTTCCTCTGGCAGGGCAGTGAAGAGTTGGCTGCCTGTTGCTGGCACAGCTGTCTTTTCTGAGTTGTTCTGAGAGTTGGCTGTAGTCACTGCAATCCCAGCTGACCCCGAGCCCCTCCTCACCAAGAGAGTTCTGAGCCTGGCCTCTGCCTGCAGCTCACTTGCAGAGGTAGCAATTACTCACTTTACCAGATCCTCAGAGACAGCCCGCCTATTTCCTCTAGGCTCCAAGGGAGCTCCTCACCCACTCACTGCCCCCGAAGGCAACGGAATCAGGGTCAGGGATTTAGTCTGGCCGAATGACTCAGTTTGATGAGTGACATCGATGCATTAAAAGCTTCCCCATGCTTCCTGACGCCCGTCCTTCCGTTTTCCAGCATAACTCTGCCGCTGCGCAGGCTCAGGACACTGAGCCTGCCGCCTGGGTTTCAAACCCAGCTCTGTCCTGTGCTAGTCATGTGACTTTGGGTAAGTGACTGGGCCTCTCTGGGCCTCAGTTTCATCATCTGTAGAATGAGGATAACACTGGTTCTGCCTCACAGAGCTGCTGTGTTACAAATATCACACTAGTTAACGTCTGCAAAGCACCATGCCTATGCCTGGCACAGGGTACTGTGTATTTGCTATTATTGTTAAAATACCATCTGGTCTCATCCTTCTCCTATTGCCCCACTTTTAAAATCAAAAGTCCTGGGCTTCCCTGGTGGCGCAGTGGTTGAGAGCCCGCCTGCCGATGCAGGGGACACGGGTTCGTGCCCCGGTCCGGGAAGATCCCACATGCCGCGGAGCGGCTGGGCCCGTGAGCCATGGCCGCTGAGCCTGCGCGTCCGGAGCCTGTGCTCCGCGACGGGAGAGGCCACAACAGTGAGAGGCCTGCGTACCGCAAAAAAAAAAAAAAGAGTCATGTACCCCAATGTTCACTGCAGCTCTATTTACAATGGCCAGAACATGGAAGGAAACTAAGTGTCCATCGACAGATGAATGGATAAAGAAGATGTGGCACATATATGTAATGGAACATTACTCAGCTGTAAAAAGAAACGAAATTGAGTTATTTGTAGTTAGGTGGATAGACTTACAGTCTGTCATACAGAGTGAAGTAAGTCAGAAAGAGAAAACAAATACTGTATGCTAACACATATATATGGAATCTAAAAAAAAAGTTTCTGACAAACCTAGGGGCAGGACAGGAATAAAGACGCAGACGTAGAGAAAGGACTTGAGGACAAGGGGAGGGGGAAGGGTAAGCTGGGACGAAATGAGAGAGTAGCAATGACATATATACACTACCAAATGTAAAATAGATAGCTAGTGGGAAGCAGCTGCATCTCACAGGGAGATCAGCTCAGTGGTTTGGGACCACTTAGAAGGGTGGGATAGGGAGGCTGGGAGGGAAACGCAAGAGGGAGGGGATATGGGGATATATGTATATGTATAGCTGATTCACTTTTTTGTACAGCAGAAACTAACACAACATTGTAAAGCATTTATACTCTAATAAAGATGTTAAGAAAAAAGAAAGGTGTGGAATTTGGGGAGGTGGGAGGTGCAGCCAGTGGGTCTTCCAAACCCATGCAGAAGAATTACGTCAAACCTCCCATTGCCCCCTCTGTGGCCCCTCTCTCACTTGCAAAGAGGTAAGGATGGCGACTTTAAAGACTCTCCTAATACAGCTCTTTTTAACGAACTCAGAACCTCAAACCTTCTCAAAATGAACCCCCCATAGGTGGGATCCCCTCCAATGCCCCATGTATCCCTGCCACCCTCCAGCATGCCCACCAGCTCCCCAGACCCCAGCCACATACACTCCAAATGATACAAGAGGATGTCATACTCACAGACATTAACTGGAGAAACACCCTCTCCACTCAGTCTGATTGGGGGGGAGGGGGGAGAAGGAAGGTTACTGTGGTGTCCAGCAGCTTGCAGCCATTTGAAGTGACGTTTTTGCAATTGTTTTAAATGTATTTAGAAAAACCTGAATTATTTTTTATTGCAGAAGTAATGGAGGTTGAAATTATTTAAATACTAGTAGTATTAAAAATAATAATCTAATGAATGAAATAATGTAGAGTTTGGGGTTCATAGGAGTCAAACCTGTAATCTCAGAAACACATTTTTTGGTGTAAATGAGGTAGACACCTTAAGAAAATTAAAGCTAATCATATGCTACTGTCAGCTGGAAAGGTAGGGCTGTCATAGAACAAGGAGAGCTCTCTTTCAATAATGGACTATTGTCAGGCACTGAGGTTATTACAGGTGTGGAGAGGAGTCTGAGTCATAAGTGTAACGATAACAATAATAAGTCTATCGTTGTAGCAAGTAGAGTAGTTTTGCTTTAGCATCTTGAGGACAGAAGTGACATTCATTATAAACACAGACAGAACATTAAAAAGGGCTTCTACCTACTACCTACATTATGCCACTTAATTCTCTCAACAACCCCATTAAGTAGGTTTTATTATCTCAGTTTTACAGATGGCGAAATTGAAGATCAGAGAGGTTAATTAACTTGCCCATGATCACAAAGCTGGATTTGAGGTCAGATTCATTTGACTCCAAAGCTCATATCTTTGGCCATTAAACTGAAAGATAACTAACATTTATTGACCATTTGCTGTGTTCCATGCATTGTTCTAAGAGCTTCATATATAGTCCCTCACTTTAGCCCCCTTAATAACATATAAGATAGAAACTGTTGTTATCCCCATTTTACAGGTGAGGACTGGAGAGATGGAGTAATTGGCCCTTGGTCACACAGCTGGTAATTGGCGAGCACAAAGCTCCCATGGGGCTTTGGGGATCATGTGACCTGGCCTCTTTATTCCATCACTAAAGAAATTGAAGGCTGGGGTTGGGCAGGGGAGAGGATACTGAGTTTCCTAAGCTTACATAGCTAGTTAGTGGTAGACCTGTCAGCCCAAATCCTAGGACAATTTATTCTCAGTTCATACCACGTATCCAGACCCACCGTGTAACCAACTTTCTCCTTTGATAGAAGTTGATTACGGAGATCCAATCAGCTCCTAAATTTCTATGGGGTGCTAAAAGTAGTTACACCTCAAATGTGGGAATCTGCTCATGATTTCCCTGGAAAGAAATTGCACCTGTATTCTTTGTCATAGTCCAATTCCACCTGCAGTTTGCTCCCTTTTCCAAGGCAAGGAGGGGCCCGCAGCACCTGAGCCCCTAGGAATGCCCAGGCAGCTGGGATGGAGTTGGTGCATCTGCCCTCACTTGCACTCCTCGCCCTCTGGCAGCTTCCTGTAAGTGGCAATCTCCATGTCCAGGGCCAGCTTGATGTTCATGAGCTCCTGTACTCACGCAGCAGCTGTGCCATGTCCTGCTTGGCCTTCTGAAGGGCCTCCTCCAGGTCCACCAGCTTGGCCCGTGCATCCTTGAGGGCCAGTTCTCCGTGCTGTTCCGCGTCGGCGATGGCTGTTTGCAGGCTGGCACACTGTAAGGAAAGGAGGAAGCCGTGAGCCTTACTGCTAACCTCTGGAGATCTGGTGCTTCTTGGGTAGGAGTCCTGTAAGAGTGGCAGAATGACCCAGAAGAAATGAGTGTGTGGGGAGCTCTGGGCCCTGCCAGAATGTACTTGCATCTTGATGTTGTCGATCTCGGCTCTCAGCCTCTGGATCATCCGGTCCGTCTCAGAGATCTCTTGTTTGGTGTTGCGGAGATCATCTCCGGGCCGGCCTGCCGTGACCTGCAGCTCCTCGTACTGATGCCACCAGAGTAGAGTCAGTCACCCCATCAAACACTGGCGAGGGCACTGCCTGTGCACCCAGCCTGGCCCTCGGTGCCCTGAGCGGGCCCATCCATTCACTGATCATTCGCACATTCCCTCGCTTGTTTCTTGAGCACATCTACTCACCAGGTGTGTCCTGGGCTCTGGGAATATCATGAAGAGCATAATCAGAGCCCTGCCTACAGTTTTTTGGCAACAATCAAACCAGCATATTATCGAGTTTATAGTTCCAAACTGAGATGAGTCCCTTAGGAATTGAACAGTGGCTTATGGGGGTGTGATAAAGGAACCTGACCTAGATATGAAAGTGGTTGGGGGGATGGGCAGAGAAGTCCTTCAAGAGATGGAGATACTTGAGCCGGGCGCTGAAGGCTGGGAAGGATTGACTTAAGTGACCGGCTTGGGGGAGAATATTCCAGACTGCGAAACAGCCTGTGTGCGAACACCCTGGGTTAGGAAAGAGAATGCAGAGCTCTAGGAGTAAGAGGTGACTTGGCATTGTCCTTGGGGGGGGGCGGTTCTTGGTCACGGGGCATACGTCCAGACCAACTGTGACCATGAATTTTGGTGGCCCTCCTGACACAGATGTTGGGGAAACAGGGAGGAGATGCAGGGAAACGGTGTTGGATGGTGGCCAGACTGTAGAGTACCCCGTTCTGAAGACTTTGTAACAGAATCCTCCATCTCAGGTGGCTCTCTGTCTAATGGTGCGTATCCAGGACACACTCATTTAGGAGAAATAAATGCACCCTATGTCCTCCAGCAGCCTGGAGAAAACCCACGCCCTTGCCCAACAGAAGAGCCCCTGCCTGAGCGAAGATCTGTCCAGTTTTGAAAGTACTGAATAGTTCGTCTTCTTCGTTTCTAGACACACACAGTTAAAGGGAACAACAGCCTTGCCAGCAAAGGGAATCGTTCACTATACATTTCAACCATCCCACCTGGAGTTAAGTGCATCCCACCTCCACTTACCACCAAGGGGCTGCCTCGCCCTTGCACCCCTGGCGCCTGACACCCTGCTTCCTTTCTACCACGTTGCAGTGGTAGGGACTAAGTCCATGCCCAGATCAGGGCAAGGGATGGGAGCCAGTTTGTAGGTGAGCAGCTGCCCCAGAAAATCACCTGCATTTGGCAGAGAAATGATCTCATGGGTTGGACCATCCAGGCTACTACACCCCTCCAAAGCCAAACCTTCTGGCCGTCTGCGTCTTTGGATAGTAGCTCTCTGTGGTTATTCCAACCTCCCTCTTCCCAGTAGAAACTCTTCTGTTCAGCAGTGTTCATTTCTGCCTTCCAGCCCCACGGGACTGCTTGCTCAGCCTTGAACCCCTCCCTGCTCCTTGGCAATCTTTTTCTCTCATTGCTTCCAAAACAGACTGACAACCCACCCTTCTTGGAAGTGTTTTATTCGTGCTTTTTCCTTTCTGTGACTGTTCATTCACTTCACGGCCTCCCAGACCTTGGATTCCTTTTGTAGTTCATTCATTTACAACTTTGTAACCCTGCTTGTCATATAGTAGGAGCTCCGTAAATAAGCAAGCCCTTTAGAAATAGCTTTATGACCGTTTCTCGGTTGTTTGAGTCTCATCCAACCCCCAACCAGTTGTAAGTGGTGTGGGGACTGTGGCTGTCCTTTTGAGCACCCAGCATTTCTTGACCACATATCAGTGTGTGTGTGTATTAGGGTTTCCGCACGCATTTCAAACTTAGTTTTCATAGTTTTCAACTTGGCTCCTGCCAAGTTGAAAGAAACGGGAATGCTCACATGATTCCTAAGGCTTGTGGCTAGTAGTTAAACAATGATTTGGGTCTTCAGAGAACACTAGCCCTGGAGCCTATCACGGAGGTGCCCGCGCTCACGTTGGTCTGGTACCAGGACACAGCATCAGCCCGGCTGCGGTTGGCGATGTCCTCATACTGGGCTTTGACCTCGGCGATGATGCCGTCCAGGTCCAGGCTGCAGTTGTTGTCCATGGACAGGATCACCGATGTGTGGCTGACCCGGGTCTGCATCTGGGACAGTTCCTGCAGAGCCAGTTAACTCAGCATCACTACAGCAAAAAAAGAAGGGGTCTCGAAATCATGCAGTTGATCTCCCATCTAAGTCAGGAATCCTTTGGCAACCCCGGCAGGGATTTCCCAGCTCTTCTTATGCCAGGCATTTGATGGAGGGGGAGGTCCCATGTCAACCCCTGAGGAGTTTCTGGGTCATAGATCAGTGTGATGGGAGTGTGTCCTCAGCATCCCTTCTCAGGGCTCCCTTCTGTGTTTTTTCCCTGAGTATGAAGGATGAGTAAGTGTTCTCTGAATCCAAATTATATCAGGTTGAATACGACTTACGTGATTCATATGCCAACATTAAAGGTTTCTTCGGGATTGGGTGATTTTTAGGACCCTGCTCCCCTCCCCCTGCACAGTGTGAATTCATCACTCTCTACCCCTCTCGCTCCTTCCACAGACCCAGGTCTCTGCCATCAGAGTGGCAGTGCCCAGAAAGAGGCATCTTCAGGGGCCAAGAAACACCCTGACCAAAGGGCTGAGGGGCAGCTTGCCTTATGAACTTTCTGGGATGGGGAAGGGAGAGGTGGGGCTTAATTCCTTGGGAATGTTACCCAACGACGTGGGATTTTAGGAATCATCACTCCCTCCTTGTTAGGCCATGGGGTTGGGGGTAGAAGCCTCAGAGGTGGGGTGGGGTTGAATGTGGCAGGATTTCAAGCAGTTCTTCCCAATACCCATGACGTCCTAAGCCCTCCATCCCGGGTAGAGGCACTATATGGATAACACCCTGCCACACCCTTTTCTTTTCAGGGTCCAGACATAGGAGGGACAAACACATTTGCAGGCTCTTACTGCCTCAAAGAGCACCCGGAGGAAATTGGTCTCTTTGGTCAGAGAGCTGACCTTGGCCTCCAGGTCCACCTTGTTCATGTAGGGGGCATCCACGTCCTGGAAAGACAGCACAGAATGCTCCTCTGAGACCCTGGCACCAGGCAGCAAGTCCAAAAGAAGCTGGGCAGACTCTTCCTCCATGGCCCTTACAGTTTGGATTTTAGCAAACTCTGTATCTGGGGTTTGGGGTTGGGGGTGGGTGATTGCTGGGAACTGCAGGCTCGAATCTCCTGGGCTAACCAAAACCCAAGCAGGGTCATTGGGGCCATAAATACAGAGGGAGGATTTTGGCAGGTTTGAGCTATCCAGATATTCTCAAGGTTGAAGCCACTTTTCTTGGGCGGCCCAAGGGTCCATCACCCCAAACTCCAGGATTCGGTATTGAATTTTCTCCTTTGAGAGACATTCCCAACCACTTTCTTCAGAGCCGCAAACTCATTCTCAGCAGCCGTGCGCTTGTTAACTTCATCCTCATACCTGTAAGCACAGAGGAGAGAGGGCGTGCTTGTGAGTAAGGGTTTTTTTTTTGTTTTATTTTTTAACATCTTTATTGGAGTATAATTGCTTTACAATGGTGCGTTAGTTTCTGCTTTATAACAAAGTGAATCAGTTATACATATACATATGTTCCCATATCTCTTCCCTCTTGCGTCTCCCTCCCTCCCACCCTCCCTATCCCACCCCTCTAGGTGGCCGCAAAGCACCGAGCTGATCTCCCTGTGCTATGCGGCTGCTTCCCACTAGCTATCTACCTTACGTTTGGTTGTGTATATATGTCCATGCCTCTCTCTCATTTTGTCACAGCTTACTCTTCCCCCTCCCCATATCCTCAAGTCCATTCTCTAGTAGGTCTGTGTCTTTATTCCAGTCTTACCCCTAGGTTCTTCATGACCTGTTTTTTCCCTTAGATTCCATATATCTGTGTTAGCATACAGTATTTTTTTCCTCTTTCTGACTTACTTCACTCTGTATGACAGACTCTAGGTCTATCCACCTCACTACAAATAACTCAATTTCGTCTCTTTTTATGGCTGAGTAATATTCCATTATATATATGTGCCACATCTTCTTTATCCATTCATCTGTTGATGGACACTTAGGTTGCTTCCATATCCTGGCTATTGTAAATAGAGCTGCAATGGACATTTTGGTACATGACTCCTTTTGAATTATGGTTTTCTCAGGGTATATGCCCAGTAGTGGGGTTGCTGGGTCGTATGGTAATTATATTTTTAGATTTTTAAGGAACTTCCATACTGGTCTCCATAGTGGCTGTATCAATTTGCATTCCCACCAACAGTGCAAGAGTGTTCCCTTTTCTCCACACCCTCTCCAGCATTTATGAGTAAGGGTTTGATTGAACTCTTCCCAGACCGAGGAGGACTGTACTGGTGCAGCAAGAGTTAAGAAACCTCAAGTCCTTCCCAGCTCTTCCGCTGACCTGTGTGTGACTTTGGGTAATTCACTTAACCTCTATTTCTCCCCCTGTAAAAGGGGAATAATTTCTTCTCCCAGAGTTTCTTTTTCCCTTTTTTCTTTTGTAAGACTAGAAGGTGAGCGTGCAACTGATAGGAATAGAAATACATATTTATGCAACTCCATCCTCTTAGAGATGCACAATTCCAATCTTTAAAAAATTTTGCTGGGCTTCCCTGGTGGCACAGTGGTTGAGAATCTTCCTGCCAATGCAGGAGATATGGGTTCTAGCCCTGGTCTGGGAAGCTCCCACATGCTGCGGAGCAACTAGGCCTGTGAGCCACAACTACTGAGCCTGCGCATCTGGAGCCTGTGCTCCGCAACAAGAGAGGTTGCGACAGTGAGAGGCCTGCGCACCGCGATGAAGAGTGGCCCCCGCTTGCCACAACTAGAGAAAGCCCTCACACAGAAACAAAGACCCAACACAGGCAAAAAAAAAAAAAAAGGCAGATGCTTGCTCTACAAAAAAAAAAAATTTTTTTGCTGCCTCAAGTGCCTGCTGGAACTGTCGGGTAAACTTTGTTCAGGACACTGTTCCCGTCGATTTTGATATATTTTCACTGAACCTCAGGGCAGTCATTTAAGTAGTGTGCTTTTAGTAAGTAGGTGTTGCTCTAACTCAGAAACCAAGGGTGAGCCAGCTAAGGGATTGGCAAGGACCATCCTTTCTGTTAGATATCTCACCTACTGTAGCCTGGGTGATGGCAAGTCAACATCCTCCTCCCCTGAGGAGGATCAGATTGACTGGTTTATACTCTAGTGTGCATCTTGGAAATGCAGGTGTCTCAATAACAGAGTCCATGTCCAGCAGAGTTAAATAATAAGCCCACTATAAAATAATATATTGCTTTCCAGAGTCTGAATCTTTTGTGAGATGACGCAGATGTCCCTTTGCAGTCATGGAGACAGACAGAGTAGGCTTCTTGTTAATAGCGATGCATGAGATGAGGGTCCCTTTGTTACCCCATACTTTGCTGTCTTCTTCTCATGAGATAATGACTGCAAGTCCAAACCTCCCTGACACGGGCATCTGCTCCTTCGCGCCCCTCTGGTCCTCATAAAGAGGAGTTCTGGGATGACTGCATGTGATCAGAAGGGTCTCCCACTCTCACCTGACTGAGATCTTCCACGACATCCTGCGTGGTTCTCAGCTCAGCATCCAGCCTGCCCCTCTTGGTGGTGCTGCTCCTGCAGCAGGCTCCACTTGGTCTCCAGGACCTTGTTCTGCTGCTCCAGGAACCGCATCTGGATGGGGGAAGAAGGGAATGAAGTCTGGAGAAACTGGGGAGGCAGAGCCAGACACCCCAATTAATACAGGAGAGAGGAAAAGTATGCCCATCTGCCAATGATATAACTGACAACTCCAGGTCAAAATGGAAAAGCCCATCGAGCCACCCCGATGTTCTCTGGGGCTCCACAGAACTAGTGCAGTGGGCCTTGGAGGCTTTGATGGGGAGCCTCCATTCCTGGCGTAAGTGTCTCTACAACACCTGCTCTGGGTTAGGTTAGTTTGCCCAGGGAATTTAACAGCTTCACCCTTCCCTCTGTGTTGACTGAACCAGCCGGCATGGCTCCCAAGGAGGATGAGGGGAAATTCCCACAGGTCCCGCGGGGCCCCACCTGCAAATACCTCTGCCCCCGGGAGATGCTTGCCGAGCGGATGCGCTTTCCCACAGGGAGGTCGTTGGGTGACTGCTGTGCTCTGGCCGGGGTCTCTCCAAAACTTCCTGCCAACCCAACCGCATGGACAAGATGCAGCCCCCGGCTCACCTTGTCAATGAAACAGGCAAACTTGTCATTGAGGGTCTTGATCTGCTCCCGCTCTTCTTTCCGTACCCGCTGGATGGTGAGGTCAATTTGCAAGTTGAGGGGAGTCAGGAGACTGGTTGATGGTGACCTCTTGGATGCCTCCAGGGGGACAGACGGAGAAGCCAGGACCCCCATAGCCCCCTCCAGTTCTGCCCCCATAGCCGAACCCACCACTGACCTCAATCTCTCTGCTCGCCCTGCCATCAAAGCCACTTCAGAAGCTGCTGCTGCACCCACTGATGGAGACCCGCTTGGTCTCCCCCAGATTGTAGAGGCTGAGGCTTCCACAGCTGGTCCCAGCACCGCTGATCCTTCTCATCCCTCCACTGCCCCACCGGGGAGTGGGCCACAGAGACGGAGCTGAAGCGAGAGTGGCTGGTGGCTAGGGTGGTGGCTGAGGCCATGCTGAAGCCCCTGCTGCTGCCGGTCTGGAAGGTGAGAGTGGACTGCCTGGACATGGTGGCTGGGAGAGGCCGGCGAGGAGAGCTCCTGATGTGGGTACGTGTGGAGGGGGATGGAGGAGACAGGGCAGCTGGGCGCCCTGACCCCCTGGGCTTTTATGGGCCTCTGGGAGGGGCGGGGTGTGCTCAGGCAGGCCTCTGATGGCATCTCCTTGGCATCCACCAACCTTGAGCCCACACTCAGCTCCCCTCTGGAAACAGTGTAAAAGCCACTGGTTGGTTCCCTGACATCCCTCCCGCATGTGGAAACTCCTTTCTAGTCGCAGCTTGATCAGCAGATGAATGAGAAGCATGTAAATAGCTTTCAGTCACGTCCTAATCATACATCTTATAATGGACTCAGAAAACACTGCCTCATTTCTAAACCGCTCTCTCAGGCCTGGGACCAACTCCCTCTTGTCCAAACATCTTGTGTCAACCCCAGTGACTGCGGTTCACTGTTTCCTGTTCCTTCGTATCCCTTAGGTGTACATCTTATTCCTGAGCACTTTCTGGGCAATTATCCCCCCTCCCGACCCTGTCCCCAGCTCAAGCAGTCCCTCCAGATCTTGAAAATCCTGCTCTACACTCATCTTTATCAGGAATCCAGCCATTTTGATTTCCCCTTTATTTTACTCTGAAGCTGCCACCTCTATTGCATGGGTCACACACGACATTCTGGGGTGTCAGTGTGTGCATCCGTGCACGCACGTATGTCCTGTCCATTCCTGTATAACATGACCCTCAAGGCCAGGTCTTCTGCCTGCATGGAGAGCAGTTGAGAGAGTGGGAAGATGGGTTTGAATCCCAGCCCTGCCGCTTCCTAGTGGTGAGACATGGGGCCAGTTATGAAACTTCTCTGGGCCTCGGTGTGGGTGTCTGTAAAGTGGGGTTTGTGATGATTATTCATGGCAAAACAGCTTTTGCAACACTGAGGACATGTAAATGCTGAGCCAATGTTGGCTGTGTCTTCTTTCCTGATATAATCACGCATGTGTGAATGAAGTGCCATCGAGGCGTCTGTCCTGAGCAAGTCCTGTGGGGATTCGAGAGAAGCACAATACACGTTCTTTTTCTTTAATAACAGGCTTGTGGTCCTGTTGGGAAGACAAAATGAAAGCACACTGAGTAACTTATGAAAAGGTGGTATGCAGTAAAACACCACCTCTTGGCTCTGTTTCAGGTCGCCTTATTCCAGAAGTCTCCCTGACTGGCCACGTTTCCTATTGATGGCCAAGGATCCTGACCCTTTAAACCTTCATCGAAAAGCCCCAGTGGCTACACTGAGTAGAGGACTTGCTTTTTGTTTTTTGGGTTTTTTTTCCCTGTTAGTCTTAAAAAATTTTTTTAAAAATATTTTATACAATTTTAAAAGGTTACTTTCCATTTACAGTTATTACAAAATATTGGCTATATTCTTCATGTTGTAAAAATACATCCTTGTGCCCTATCTTACACTCAATAATAGTTTGGGCCTCCCACTCCCCCACCCCTATATTGCCCCCCCTCACTGGTAACCACTAGCTTGTTCTCTATAACTGTGAGTCTGCTTCTTTTGTTATAGTCACTAGTTTGTTGTATTTTTTAGATTCCATGTATAAGTGATATCATACAGTATTTGTCTTTCTCTCTCTGACTTATTTCACTTAGCATAATGCCCTCCAAGTCTATCCGTGTTGCTGCAAATGGCAAAATTTCATTCTTTTTATGGCTGAGTAGTATTCCAGTGTATATATATACCACATCTTCTTT